CCTCATTTTATCCCATGAGGCTCAAAGGTGGAAGGGTGGCACAAGGAATGGCCAGAGCCAACCCCACATTTGGAGTCCAACTCCATGTGGTGCATGGAGAGCCCTGAACTGGTCTGGTGTGGACCTGAACCCACAGGCGCCACTATGCAGCCCAGTACCAATGAGGATGTACAGCTGAGTGAGCCAGATCACAGACACATCAAACCAGACATCATCTTTCCATTTCTAGCTTTTCGGAGGTGTTCAGGCAGCACCTTCAATCGAGTATGCTTGAGAAAGCAACACAAGGATCCTAAAAAAAACAATGCTCAAAACCCGAGTGGATTTATTGCCTAAAATTATTATTTTGCATGTCCACAGCATTTCTAATGTGGACAATGGAAGCAGGATAAAAGTAAGTCAAAGAGGACCACAGCAGGCTCAAGTCTAGTAATGAAAATGTTTGAGAAAGGTTTTCCCAGTGAAAAGGGAAAGGTAACAGCGCATGTAACTAAAATGACAAAACCCCTTCTCAGATGAGCTAAAAATCAGAGGGAGAAGTTTAAGTAGATGAGAGCCTAGGGCAGTGATATAAAGACAAGCACTTGATAAAATGGAGACCCATGTAAGGCTGCCCATAAAAGTAGCAGCAGGCGCTGTTCTCCCCAGGGAACAAACTGGCACAACTCAATCATCACCTGTGTTTCAAGATGCAGTCTGACTTAGCTGAAGACATGCTCAGTTTAAAAAATTATAATGATAATAATAATAGTAAAGTAATTTGAAAGATGCATTTATCTTCAAGGCCAGGAAGGTGTCCCTGCCCATGGTAGGGGGTTGGAACTGGATGATCTTTAAGGTCCCTTGCAACCCAAACCATTCTGTGACTCTATCATCTTAAAAATGCTTTAACATTCACCCAACAAAGCAACAATTAGACAGTTCACTTAAAACACATTCACTTCAAATGGTTCACTTAAAAGACACCAAATGTCAGTTAATTGCTACAAAAGACATTTGCAGCAGCTTGGGGAATGGGAATCTTCCTGTTCCAAGATCAAAACCTGGGAGAGCTGAATGCATCCTACTGAAGTGAAGCTCTTCTTGGCACTGTGCAAGAAGGCTTGGAAAAGGGAAATTGTCAATAAATAAGCATCTGAGGGCAGTGGGGGGTGTTTTGACAGAAAAGGCATAAAGAAATCACTTGTTTTCCCTCCCTAAAGAATAGGGCCACCACAAAGAATAAGGTCCATGCTTGAGTTAGAACATGCCTGCAGGCCTTAAGATGAGACTTCAAAATAGAACAGCAACTGCATGGGAGTTTTTTGCATTTTAGTTTTTACAGAACATCAAGTCCTTCCGCAGGGATGATTTTTCCAGAGAGCAGAGATCAGAGCTGTTTGTTCTTTATCATCACCATTAGCTGAGGAGAGAAGAGCCTCTGTAGCCCACCCTTCAATTTAAGATACAGTTGCTTCAGTCTTGTCCTGGCTGAATACAAGCCAAGGAGTATTCATCTTCCTGTTCCCCATTTCCCATGTAAGCCCAGAACTGGCTCACTTGTTGCAGACCTTCCTTTAACACCTGCTTCAGACAGATGTATGTCTGCAGCACCTTTTGCACCTGCTCCAAGCAGCCTATCCTCTCCTTACGGAGCTCTCCCCACCCTATCCTTTCCTAGGACCCACAACAGGAGGGTGTGTACTAAATCTCTTTTGCAGCAGCTAAGACTGTGCTGCACTAAAGCTATTACATGTTTATCCCACTTCCTTCCATTGACAGAAAACAAAAGCTTGTACTGTTGCTTACCGATACCAGAAAGTATTTGCTTTCCCAGATTGTTTTTCCCTCTTTGTTTCAGAAGGGGTTTCAGTAGAATAACAAGCCCACTCTGAACAAGAAGCAGCAAGGGGTGATTTGGGACAGAGGCCCTTCAGAACCCACCTGGCAAATCCAGCCTGGACCCAGGTGCAGCCCAGTCCTGTCCTTCCCATCCCTGCTGGGACTACACACTCCAGCACCTCCTCCACCACCTTACAGGTCCTGCAAATGCAGGAGAAGACAATGCTTCAGCTGCATAGCTTGAAGAGGTGGGGACAACTCTGCACTACTGACCTGTCTTCAAGTGGCTGCCCCTGTTTCATAGCTGCAGATCATCTCCAGAAGATGCTCTGTCCACTCTGAGTATCATACTTTGAGTATCTGCTGTTTCTCTCTTCTTACCATGCATGGCACTTCCTTCCTGCCAGATGCTTTATCACCTCAAAACCATCCAGATGAAGCTTCCACTCTTGCTGATATTGCTCTTTTATTCAGTGACAAAGAAAACACTCGCACCAGGCACTAAGCCCGCAGTGCTCCTGCCAATAAGTGATGCAGAATTAAACACAGGTGCCACATGAAAACACGGTGCCAAGCTTACAGTTCCCAAAAAAAGCACTGAATGCATGCACACACTCAGTCACTTTTTATTTATACTTTTTTTTTAAACCACCAGAATAACAAGTATCGGGTCCTAAAATCAAGAAGGGCACCAAAAATCCAAGTATTACTCAGGATATTAAATACTCAACTACCCCAACTCAAAACAGCCTTGGCTCAGAGAACATGTCCTTCATATAATTTATTGACAATTAGCAGAAACTTCTGATCACCTTCCTTGTCCCTTCCCTAGGTTCAGCCTAAGCCAGACACTTTTCCAGCCCTACTGGCAGGTCCAACTTCCCCAGTGACCACCATTATGCAGTGGCAAGCCACAGATGCAGCACCAACACCTTTTGCCTGTCCTTCCTCCTGCCTGCATTCACATGGTGTGTGCTTTCTATTTATGCACAGTTAATTACTTTCCTCACCCAATGCCATGAAAGCACAAGCATGGAGCACTTAACTGTGCAGTTCACTCTGGAAAGCCCAACCACCTCTGCCGGTAGCTACCAAGAGACAGATAGCATCTGCAACCCAACCTGAAAACACTTCTCTCCTGCTCTTTATACCACCTCTCTTGGTGAAGCTTTTTCATGGCCACACTGATGTTCACGTAATACCAGCTCCTCTGACCCCCAGGATCTGTGCTGGCTTTTCAGTCTGTAGACATCAGGGGAGAAGTGCAGCAGCAGGTGGATTGATGAAGATGACCTTCAGGTTTTACATGGGAATTTGTTGGCTCACCATTTCAGAGACAACATTTGAAAGTTAAGTTCCAAGTGTCTCCAGACAGTCAGCCACTGTCTATGTCAGCCATATAGCCAAAAACCACTACACAAACACCTAAAGCTGCCATTCCTTATGCCTGCCCTCCCATGGGATTCCTGTACTACGGCATCTCCATCAGCAGATCGTTCCTCTGTCCAAGCTTTCCTCTTCCAACGTTCCTCTGTCCAAGCTTTCCTCTTCCAACCTTTTCAATCTGTTGTCCAAATTCTTTTTCTTTTTTTAACATTCTCAACTGCTTTTAAGAAGCAGGCAGTGGCAATTTTAGTTGCTGCAGCTGGGGGAAAAGCTGAAGCACAGCTACCTCTCTGACCTGGGAAATGCCTCTCACATGATGCACCCAACTCTAATATTGCACCTTCTTAGGCACCGAAATCCACAGTAAACAGATTTTGATAGTTCTCCTGCCTGTGGGCTGCTCCTCTCTCTTCTCCTCCCCCCAGCAACATATCTTTGGCTGAAAAAGCTTCTGGAACTACAAACATTTTAAAGAAAGTGTTAGAAAAATGTATTATTAAGAAAAGATCATAAAAGAACAACAACTTGAGAATAGCTGCAGCTAAAAATACACAATCCCCACACCCCTTCTCCAGTGAAAACATTATCAGATGTCACTTCCCAATGGTAAAAACACACTTGTTTTTTAATTAAGGTCGTATTTTGCACACTGGATTTTCTTGTCAGGGAACACAAGAGACCCTGGGAAAAGATCTTGTTTGCTGCCTCAAAGTTCCCACTTTTCTGTGCCATCTGATGGCAAGATACTGCCTGAAACTGGTACCTGCAAATCTATTTTCTTTTAGCACCACCTAACTTGGCAAAATAACCTTCTAAAGAGTATGAAGTATCTTGGCCACCCCTACTGAGTTGCAGAGTGTTTGTGCAATATGGCTTTATTTTTATTTTTTAATACTTGAGAGTATCGAGGTGGAGCACGTGGGAAGGAGATAACGTCAACAAGCAGAGCAGCCGTGCAGAGCAAACATTGGTGCCTGGCTGCAACCCACCTCTCATCTGACCCAAATCCTAGGGAGGGCTTGAAAAATCTGAATTATGGACCAAATGAATTGTCTACTCAGTCTGCTGTCTGAAATCCTCCCAGCTCTAAAGGTGTAATCAACGTTTAGTGGATAGCAAAATAGCCATGAGGTACAGCAACCTGATGGCTTTCTTCAGTAGTACAATGAATAAAGGGAGTCAATTAAATCCCCCCAGCAGGGAGTTTTGTACCATTTAATTGCTTAAATAAGCTCTGGTTTATTGATCACACAGAAAAATACTCAGGAATTACTTAGGAGGGTAAGGGAAAGCCTGTGTGTTTACATTTAAACAAACTAAGCTTGTAAAGGGGAATGTTAGAACAACACAGCTTTTTCCTCCAAAGACATAAATGAAATCCAAAGATAACTTCCCCAGAAGGTCCAGGTCACACTCTTTACTTACTAACCCTCAGCAAATACACAGCTTTCCCCCATTCAGAAATGCTCAAATACTTTTTTAAGAAACCACACACAAATAAGTAACTTTGTCAGTCCATTACTTAGGTGGCCAAATCTTGCCCTGCTGTCCCACTCCGCTGCCCCCTTCCCTCCACCATAAAACAAGCAGCACATCTCAGATATACGTATTCCCCCAGCTCTCTGCCTGTCCATGCAGGCATTCATACTTTTAGTCCACCTGCTCCCTTGCCAAAGTTATCTGAGACTGGCCCGACACAAAATTTATTAGCACTGAAGATAGAGTGTGCAAGGCTCCTGCTTCCCTGAGAAGTCAGGGTGAACACCCACTAAAAAGCATTTTGAAGGACTAACCTGAAAGCCATGAGCAGGAAGACAACCACAGCCATGTTATACTGTTAAAATGTTTGCTAAAGGAGATGCACCAGTCTGCTGGGGGAGTACAGCCACAGAGCAGAACCACGGAGATGCACTGGGAAAGACGGAAGGCACAGCTTCATGGCCACCACTTCCCTCCATCCACTCAGCCCAGAGGAACTTGGAAGACATGCCCACATGATGTCACTACTGGGTTGGCGTCTAAATAAAGGAAGCTTTTTATAGAATTTCCCACTGTCGTACTTAATAGGGTAAGCTCAAAGAGCCACGACATCAAGCAAAAGGGAAGGAAAAGGGAAAACAATCACTGGGGCCAGGGCAGGTGGGTGGTGCCTCAGAAAAGGAACCAAAACAAAACCGAATTTACTCCCTAGTACCTACATGTTGGATAAAAAGCAGAGGTAAGAGCAGCGCATAACATAAGGGAGATGTGTTTTTACACCATCTGTCACAAGGAAGCACAGACTATTTCTGCACTAGGGTAGGGAAAGGAAGGATGAAGGCAAGGAGGGAGGAGAGGGAGAGAAAAATTTTGCTTAAAGAGAGTAAATAAAACGTACTTCTAAGTCAGAGGGGTTTTCCAGCTTCATATTATTCCTGTGGTAATTACTGTGCTTCCTAAAAGGAAACTGGGGTTTCTGAACAATCAGAAGACTCTTGGCTGCAAACACCTTAAGTTCAAATGATCAGCAAGCAGGATTTGCTGAAAGTTCTCAAAAAAATAACCCTAACATAAAAAAAAAAACACCAAAAAAACAACTAAACAAAGAAAACCCTAACGAAAGCAAAACCCGCTGGCAGTTTGGTCGAGTTCATGCGTGCCTGCATGTCATTCTCTCCTTCGTAACTGTTCATCACTTCCACAGCGCTACAGAGCGGTTCCCCCTCCTCCTGCTGCTCCTCCTCTCTGCATCTTCAGCCGGGCATCCACATGGAGAGCAGTTGCAATAGCCTAGTGACTCACGCTGCAGCAATGTGGGTGGGAACTGCTCCCATGCCCAGCTTCTAAGGACACAGCCTTTTATGGCATTTTTAGAGTGGAAGCTGTTGTGGTTTGGAGCACTTTGCCTTTTGTCTTGCAGGAGCCTCAGAGAAAAGAGCTTATGCTCCCCTGGCACAGCAGAATGCAACAGTGAGGAACTCAAGCAGGTGATGAGCAAACCCATGCCAGGCTCTGTAGACTTCCTCACTCATGGATGCTGGAGGATGTTACCCACTCTGAGCAGCAGCATCACAGCTTGTCCACAGGCTCTCCCATCCACACCGCGGGCTGTTTGGTGACTCCACTGCTCCACCGACAATCTCCAAACCAGATGGAAGAGTGGGACATGGGTATGAGCTATTCTGTGGGCAGCTTAACTACTGCAGCCCAGCTTTCTAAGGAGTCATTCCCTGTGTCCTCCTATGGCAACACACTAACAACCTCTTCATCATCTCCAGTGAAGGGCCTCCAGATACACTGTTTCTACTCTTGATGGGCTGCCGGCATATGAAAAGCTGGCAGGGCTGCCAGAGTCCCATCTGCCTTCCCTCAGGGTGAGTCGTCAATTTCAGACTGCATCTCTACAGCAAGTAGAAAATTAACTCTCCAGGCTTTCTACACCATAAAAAAGTAGCTGAAATGGGGCAAGAGGTTATTAGAGAAAAGCAGGCACATGAAACTGAAACCAGGTTAAAAGCATCAGGGACAAGGGCAGTGGCAGAAAAGCCACTCTGCAGGCTTGCGGACCACAGCACATGCAACTCAAAAGTGGCATGGTAATGAAACAGACTCAGCTGTGTTCTTTTAAAACTGAAGGCAACACATGAAATTAAAAGATTATCTTAAACATTACCCTGCAGGGCTTGAAACAGGACTTTGGTTGCAAATGTGCAGTGGATTGCTTTACAGGACAGCTCTGCTCTCCTTTATGCCTGAAGCATTATCTGCTCTAGAACAGATGAGCATGAAGTTTCTGCATCCCCAATCATAACTCCAACCAGTCGTTTTAAAGCTGTTAAATTCAAGAGGATGTAAAATTATAATCCACACACACAGGAGAAAAAGCTATCAGGATGAAGGAAACAGTAGCAATCAATCCTCCTGATGCGAAGCCACTGGTGTTAAAGGTATTTTTTGAATTCCTTTTGAAATCTCAGTGAGCTCTGGAAGGAGTCAACTTACGAGCTGGGACAGATGAATGACAGACCACCCCTACAGGCAGATTTCACCGAGTGGGTAGATGCAGCGGAAAGCTCCTCTGGAGCAACTTCTCACATACAAGAGACACAGCAGAAGGGAAGTTCGGAGGAGGTCTGTGTCAGCAAGAACTACACAGCCCACAACATGCCTTGGAGGTGAGCAAACAGCAGCAGACCACTGCAACAAAACTCCCTCCCAGCATCTGCTAGACAAGATGCCCCACACCAGGGGGACAGCCAAAGCTCCTCAGACAGACTAACACAGAGTCCTAAAATAGATTTCCAAGTTTAGGGAGTGTTCCTGCTGTTAGATAATGAATCAAGATTACAGAATTAAACTTTAAAAAAAAAAAACAAAAAACAAAACACATGAAAGGCTCCATCCTGTTCAAAAGAATACAATGAATGACCTGCAGTCTTGTCCTAAAGACCAAAACATCACACCTGATTACTATCCCATCTTACTCCTAAATCCTGCAGAGCCAGCCTGGTCATAGGAGAGCTGCCTTGCCTCTTTTCTCATTAAACTACTTACCTCTCATTAAACTACTAACTACACACAGCAGTGGCTGTGAAAGAGGTAGGGTAAGTCACTTAATTTTCATTATCCTTTACTTGGAACAGCATTTTCAAATTTAATTTAAAAAAAGAATCAGGAAGAAAAACAAACCAAACAACAACCAGCCTAAAGCTCCTATGACAGAAAAGAGACACATTCAAGCCTGAACTTGGGTTCACATCTCCCACAAGACAGACCTCTCTGCATGAAGCCGTTAGTTATCAAAACTGCCATTCATACCCCTGGAAAGCCAGGGAAAGGAGGAAACTCCAGTTTGCCCCAACATGCTCAACTCTGCAGTTGCTGCAGGCCATTTCGTGCTGCTCTGACCTTGGTATGCTGGCAGACTCCAGGGACCCACAAGGCCACACACCTTCTCTTGCCTCCAGCTGTGCAGTACGCTGCATTTAACATAATTTTTTGATACTTTTGATAATGGATGCATCTAAGCTTTGCAGCTGATGGTGCAAACTCTGACTTCTCATGAGTTTTCCCTGCTTACCTTCTTCCTTCCCTTCCCAAATTTGCAGATGGTTTTAAGCCCACAGCAGCTTCTACTCTGAACACTTCTCAAAGCAGTTTGCATCATCTGGGTTGAGCTTGATGTAGTGACTACAGGAACCCTTGCAAGGAGGAAAAAAAAAAAAGATAATCTGAGAAATTACATCCTCTACCAGTTCTGCAGATGCAGGACCAAAACCATTTAAAAAAGACAGGTAAGACACTTCCAGAAGGAGATGCAGACACTGGCAGTAGACCCTAATAACCAACTTTCAAAGCCCTCCAAGATGAAAAGGAAGTTCTTCATTGCCATCCCACCCAGGAGGAAAGAAGGGAACAGGGGACTGTGACACAGGTGGTGCTTCAAACAGATGGTATGACAATTTACAGGAGGGGAAAGGGAAGGGGAGAAAGAAAAACATCCCACTGTGCGCAAACTTAATGACCTGTTAGCTTCACCAGTCCTTTGTAGGGTCACAGCCTTCAGCTAAGGATCCGCTCGGCTAGGACCAGTCTACAAATTATATTGTAACTGGAGACTTTAAAAGCCTTGCAAGAAAATGCACCAAAATAAATAAAAGTCAGCTGGGCAGGCTCTGCCTGACAACTCATTTTTTTTACGCAGCCAATACAACGCCATGCAGAGAGATGCTGCATGAATCAACCCATTTTGGTTGGCACATGTCTTGCCAGGGGGAGCAGGATGCATCATGCCAGTATATGTGGAACACCCTCCAAAGGGCTCTGTTTACCCAGCAGGAGCCCATGCAATCCCTACACAAAGCCTGTAAGCACATTTAAGGCTCAAAAGTCATCTGAACAGGTCCATTCTCCCCTCCCACTCCCCATAAATACAGTCCAAATTGGGTCATCTCCTAACAATGAATCAGTGACACTCATTTAAGCTTTTGCTGCAGTGCCAACATAATCTAGGTCCTTTTGTTGTCCTTGTACTGAAAGTGCTAAAGATGCTTTTGTACATGCTCTGAGGTAGTCCATGTAAAAAAAACGTGGTAACTGGGGCACTGCATTCAGCTGCTCTTGGAAAAAAAACAGGCGGCATTCCCCTTCCCTCTCAATAGGCTCTTAGGAGGCTTGGACAGAAAAACATTGCCTACTTCAAACGTGGCTCCACCAGGATGGCTGGAATTAGGCATTAGGGTTGAGGGCAAGCACAACTACTGGGTACCACTTGGGTCTGCAGTATGAAAACCACTGGCAATATGATACTATATGGAGAAAAAGAACCCTTAACCTGCATCCTGCAGCTACGCAGCACCCAGAAGTCCCATTTTAAATTACAGCATGACACCACAACTGCAATATTCAATAGATAAAGCATCATATTTTCTTTAAAAACTACTGAGTGCTCCTAAATCTCTTCAAATCTTTTTAGAGGATGGAAAGACTATTCACTTGCACTATTTTAGCATGACAAGATTGCTTGATTCCCCCCAGGTAGCAAGTTTTTCTGTCATCTTTGCATGGAAGTAAAAGTTTAAGGGGTTTTGGTGGTGGCTTGGTTTTTTTCCTCACTCATTCCCAACACCTCAGAACTGTGACACTTTCCTGCACAGCAGCTTTTGAAGTTAGCCTATTGGCACTGGTGTCCTCCTCCTTTCTGAAATGGAAACATTCAGAGGTGTGCGCAAGAGATCAGATGGAAAGAACAGGGCAGCCTCCACTAAAATAACCATTAACTGGGAAAAACACACACTCGTAAAAGGGACATTTTTACTAGATGGAAGGCTCATTATTTGTTTAGTTTTTTAAAAAAATAAAAACATTAATAGTTTTGCATTCATTAAAAAAAAACAAAAAACAACACAAACAAAACAAACCAACATCAAACCAAAACCCAACAACCAAATCCAAACTTCACATGCACCCGTAACAGAAAATCTAACAATTTCAACATGACCTAACTGTTCCACTATCCATTATATACAATTCTAGCAGACTTTTTTCCAAATCCCACTACATACTGTAATGGAGCCACATTTCAGGATTTAAGTTTTTATAAATAGAAGATTTTAACTACAAAGTCTGCAAAAATGCCCCCCCCCCCGAAAGGAAGCTTCAAGTCCAGTCCTGTCACAGAGGCCATTCCCCAGATGATGCACAGAAAGACACTTCGTGCCTGACTGTAGGAAGCAGCATTAGCTTTATGATAGCACTGTTGCAGAGGACTTTAAAACGAAATTCACTCCAATTTGACAGAGATGCAAGCCTGGGAGAAGACAGGGAGTTTTAAAGATTTGAAGATCACATTCTTAAATGAGGGAACTGAGACATAAACATTAACCAATTCCTTGTGCAGCAGAAAATACACTTTTCCCTGCTATCAGTGTCATCTTTGCTAACAGAGGCTTCCATGGCAAGAGGCATGAGAGGGCTGAACTGAAGACAAGATCAGCAATTAACTTTGAATTCCCTGACGCCGCTCCTGACACCATCCACAGTGTTATTTTTCAGGAGGAAGCCAGGAGAA